GATAGCTAGCATGCTAGCATTCACTTAAAATGGTATTAATTGATGAAACAGAAAAGGGCAAGATTCAGATATCAAATACAAAGCATCTGTTCCTAGGCATTTTTTTTCCACTGAATAACACATTCCCCAAACATTAAGTTCACAAATTTGGGACAATTTTCACAAATAGTATAAACTAACAATAATAGGGTAGAATTTTTCAGATCTCAAAATATTTTGCATTGGTTATTACAAATCTATTTAACATTTTTTCTTTGAAACAACATTTTTTCAGTTAAAAATTGGGCTGATATATTTTTTTAAAGAGGGCAAGTAAGACCCAAGTGAAAAGAAATATTTCATTTTGGGTTGATTTTTTTTTTTTTTTTTTTTTTTGCTGAAATATTTTTGTCTCAAACAATTTTTTTCCCAATTTTTAAAATTTGCCTACTGAACCAAAAATCCATTTTTTGCTTTGCTTTACCTCTTATTCAATAGTAAACTGCATCCTTAATTGTTAAATGTGAAACATGCATACAAGACTATAAAAGACTTTAGAATAATTGTTCTTTATTCAGGTGCAATACTAGTTCATAAATCACACCAAGCTGTGTGAAGGACAGAGGATCACATTCTAATCCAGCGGGGGACAACCATTTCAGCAGACAATACCATAAGGTAGCTCTGCAGCCTTCGCAAGCACCACTTTGACCTTCTTCCCCTTCTCCTGACCAACCTGCTGCTCTGCTTTCTGCTCCCTGACCTTTCTGTCACTGTACTGCCTGTCCCCTCCCCAATCTGCCATGCACCAGACACAGACACTCACCACTCTTCACTGCTGAAGGCACTGGCCGACATCATTGCAGAGCCACTGGCGGGAATATTTGAACGCTCGTGGTGCACAGGCCAAGTCCCGGAGGACTGGAAAAGGGCCAATGTGGTCCCCATTTTCAAGAAGGGGAGGAAGGAGGACCCAGGCAACTATAGGCCAGTCAGCCTCACCTCCATCCTTGGCAAAGTCTTTGAAAAAATTATCAAGGCTCACATTTGCGAGAGCCTGGCAGGACAAATTATGCTGAGGGGAAACCA